TTAAGTTCATTTAAGTTTATTCAAAGTAAAAATATAGTTTTCTAATATTAGAACTAATTATAATATGATGCAAGGGAAAATTAAATCTCCTGTATAAATTAATCTTTTTAAATTATCATCTCCTCAAAAAATAGATCTCAATCTTGATTAAATTAAAAGTGTTAAGTGTTTTTTTAGTTTCTAAATATGTTATAGTCTTAGAATAATTATTAAGATTCTTACTTTTCATTACTGCTAATCCAAAAGCGCTTTCATCTACTGATTGCAACTTTAGGGCTTAGAACTAATCAAGAAAATTGCTTAGAATAAATTACCAGGACCTATAAAAATTAAGAAAACTTAAACCTGATTAAAGATTGAACCAAAATCTAAATTTTTAATTTAGATCAAATAGTTAATAAGGGCCATGTTTAAATTTAGTTAATAATTTTCCTTATCTATAATCATTAATAATCTTGATATAATTGCTTAACCATAAATTAAACAAGAGTTTTATGCTAGACCCTTTTTGACTTTTTATTAAAAATGTTTGATATTTAAGAAATTTTAATTTATCCATAATCAATAATCGTAATCAATCATCTAATTAAAAGACAATATGAAAATTGAATAAGTTAATGTAATAAGTTAATTTATTAATCAACAAAATACCTAATCTACTCCAATACTTAAATAAAAAAACATCCTCCATTGAAAGATTTTTCAAAGAATATTTTCTCCATCTAACGACCCAAAAATCTTCAAGTAAAAAAAAATTAACATAATAAAGATTTGATTTCAAGTTGGGGAAATGTCTACCTCGAAAGAAAAAGTGGCTATCTCAATGACGACCATAACCAGAAGTGTGTATCCTCCTAAAGAGCAGTTTTTTGTCCTATGTCAAATTGACGGGAATAAATAACAGATAAGTAATAGTATTCATTCCGGGAAAGGAAAAATTCAACCTTTTAAGTACTTCCCCTAAGTTCTAGGAATGCACCTATAGTCCAGATTTTGAGAAAAAAGATTTATATTTTTTAATTTTAAAGAGCTCATCAAAATTAAAAAAAATAAAATAAATCTTGAGATTGAACCCCGAATGAACATTATTGTTTCTTATATGTTGTAATTTTTATTTTTGAGTAATCAATATTTTAGCTAAAAATGAAGCATTCTAAAGAAGGAACTTCGTTAATGTAACAAACAGAACTTTTTGCCAAGATTATAATTAAAAAAAATAAACATAAACCTTTTGATATAAAATCTTAAGGTAAGCCTTTCATAAATGACAAAGATTACCTACGCATAGAAAAGGTAGAAGTCAAACTAGTATTGAAACGAGGGCAGCTTATAACTAAAATTTTTAGAGAAAACTGAGCCAATTTATCAATGAGATAATAGCACAATAAGTAAATAATCAATGCTATGCTTTTAGAAGTAAACTTCCCTATCATACTTTTTGATATCATTTTACATTACTACAGTGAATAAATTAGAATTATGGATAAAAACTCATTTGAATATTATAAAAGAATTTTAATAAATGATCATGGAAGAACTTTATAATGCAAAAATAGAAGTCTGATGAAAAACGAATATGATATGATATATATTAATAACTTAAGCGACAATTCATTTCCCTAACAAAGAAAATTTGGAACTGATTAATTCAACTCGAAAAAGAAGAATTCATAATTTTGTTCAATAATATAATTCTAAACCATGTTTCTATAAATTAAGGTCAAGGTAGTATTTTATGAAATTAATTGACTATATCTGCGATAAAGGAATTATGTTTAAATTTTTTAATTTTAAGATAAATATTGGCTAAGTAACTGTTTTGTTAGAATTTTATAGAGCTAAAGCAATTTTGAATTAAAAAAAATAAAAATAACATGTTGCGCTATTCACCCACCCACAGTCTAGAGAAGAAGTACATTTTTTCAATATTAATGAAGACTCTATACCTCTTCTTAAATCAAAATAGTTAAAAAATTAGTTTTGTGAGTATAGATGTTCAAGACTGATTTTATTAAGTATATACATTTTATTTTGAGTATAAGGAATTGCCAAATAAATGTGTTAAATACTAAATTTAATTTTGAATTATTTAAATCTTTATAAAAAAAAATAACCTTATACATATAGGATATCGATTATCCATAAACCAAGAATAAATAATTTGCTTATACTAAATTTCATTATGAAATATATCACTAAATTTTTGTTTCTTAAATTAATGATAAAAAAGTACTGGAGAATCAAGCCTCATAATAAATAAGGATTTAAATTCATTAGGATTAAGATAATATCAATAGTTAATGGTATGGGTATATTTATAATTAGCACTAACAATAAAATCTCATTGCTATATAATTTAAATTAACTTAATCTCAAATGCCTATAGTAAACTTCTAATTCTCATATATGTTAAACCATTATCATATGGTTTTACTATTCATTAGATTACACAAATTCACTATATTTTATCCAATAGTGAGACATTTATTACAGAATTATTCAATAAAATCTAATTGTATCAAATGAAATAAATAGTTTATTAATTATTCCAAATTTATCTCAAAATTTATTTATTATATGACAATTTCATTTCGAAGTATTCACAAAATTCAAGAATCTTATTTTGATTCAAAATCCTATATTATCCTTTATCTATAAATAGTTTCTAGTCCAAATAAATTTTATTCTAAATCTGCGGTCATGTTAACTTCTCAATCCTATACAATTATGAGCTTTTTTGGGTTCATTATTATAATTTTTTCTAATATTTTTTTGTGAAAATGAACACTCCAAAATTTTACAGATATATATACTTCCTTTCAAATTCCATACAAAGAAGACTTTTTATTAATTCTTGATAATAGACCCTAGAGTTTAATTTTAATTTAAGGTCTGAGTTTTTCAAAGCTTGTATGATGCTTTATAAAAATTAATCATAAAAATTCCCCTAATTTGATTAAAAAATTTGTTCTAATCTTATTTTAAAAGTAAAAAATGGTATTACAAAAGTAATTTACCTTTTTATTCTTCAATTACTATATTGCCATAAAATCATAAGTAAAAGAAATTGAAAAGATGTTTGAAATAAATCTTGTTTGAATTTATTGAAGATAGACGATAGCATCTTCCAAAAGGAGCAACAGGTTATGAGGGAGTTTACTCTATTTGTTAAAAGGAATATCCAATATTTCTGAATTTAAAACTAAATGGAGCTATAATAAAAAAATTGACTTTCTTCATTCAATGACTTATGATAACAAAAATTAATTTAAATAGGTGCTACAATATAGAACATTCGAAGAATTCTTAACATCAATTTGGAATATTTTTGGGAATGAAATTTAATAATTATTATTGAATATTCTTAGAGAAGGTTAAGGATATGATAAATAAGGTTCCTATTTTTTAAGAATTGGTACAAATTTATTTACAGAATAGAATTTAAAAATAGAAAAAAATCATAAATAACTTTGAAAAGGTGTGGATTTAGAAGAATAATCCAAAGAAAAAAGAAAATTACAGTATGATCTACTTTTTAAGAAATTTATTGCTTATTTAGTAATTAAATAAATACCATTTTCATTAACACTTAATAACTTTGCTGAGTGTCTAATCATTTTAATTTTTGCAATTTGTTATAATCCAGTCTATTTTGATTGTATTTACATTTTGTAAAATTTCCTTTTCTTTAAATAAGCATTAATCCAGCCATTATTAAAACAATCAACTCCATTTAGCATAAAAAATCTTAATAAAACAGGATCGAGCTTATAAATAAGATCTTTAGAAAGGAAATCAGAAGTTCTTCAATAATAAATATTTATAATGAAAAAGAAAAATTTTTGCCATTCTAATTGTAGAAATGGGAAATTTAAGTAGCATCCTCTTGTATCAATGTTCAAGAATTAATTTATAAAAAAGAGTTATTAATAATCCAGTATAAAAATTAGATTTCTAGCTATATCATAATCAGATAATAAAATTAATATATATATAAAGATTATGCTTATCTTAATTTTTGTAGCACACATATAATTTGTGTTAAGCTATATTTTAACACGATAATAATAAACTGATTTGAATTTTTAGACTGACTTTTTTTACTCTACTAGAATTGTTTAAATCGCCACATTAGTATGATTGGAGTTTAGAATTACCATACAGATTCCATGTTAAAGTTAGCCTTATAATAAAAAAAGTTAAATAATTAAACTATCATTTTTTATAGATTTTTATAGAACACTCTTGTAAATTCTGCTTCTTAACTTTATGCAATAAGAATTAAATGGTTTTCATTCTAGGATTCTAGAATTTCGTTTATGATTTTCTAATAAATTAATGTATAGGATCTTTAGTCCGATACAGGTGATTGAACAAAAACGTTTTCAATAGATCATGACTTTAAGATGCAAAAAATGGATTAATATCTTTGAATGGTGTTAACATACAAAGAGTAATCAAATAGTGGAAGTCAAAATAAATTGTTAATATATACAATTTTAGATTGAATAAGTATAATCATATAGTTTTGATGTTTCTGTAACGATGTATTCAGATTCATAAATAGAATATGTAAGATTTAATATCCTATTTGGTACTGATCAATCATTTTGATCATTTTCTGTTTAAGCTGAAATTTTCTATACTCCATTAAATGGAAATTTATGACATTAAAGTATACAAGAAATTTTCGAGATACATTCAATATTCTTGAATTCTCATATATGCTTATAGAAGATATTAATTTGATTAAGGTTCTAATGTAATTAATGTTCCTTAAATTCATCATTTAATATATAATTTATTTGTATGTGTGATAATTTTATCATATTGTAAGAATTAAATTGAATCTTTTAAGATATTATAACTACAATACATTAGTGTACACAACTACTGCTTTTTTTGATTAAGCATCTCTATATATTCCTAAACTTCAGATAAAAATTGCTTAACTTAATTGTACAGAGCTCTTTTCTGAATGCTATTATAATGGCGATTCTATTATTATTTGTAATGATTTTCCAGATGTGGATGAACTAAAACAATCAAATCCTTAAGAATTTCCACTTAAAAGAAATTATATCTTTTTAATTTGATTCATTATTAAGGTTAGGTATAAAAAATAATCCAAAATTAGCAATGTATGGAATCTCAATTTATATTATCTGTTAAATTCTAACCTGTAGCTTATATAATAAAAGTATCTATAATTACTAATCCGTTTATTTTTATATTTTATACAAATATTAAGGCACTGTTTATTAAATTTAACAAAGATATTCATTAGATCGATTTAAATTAAATATTATACATTAAAAGTTAGTGTTATTTCAATATTCATTGATGAAATAATTAAAAATTATTGATTCTATAAAGATAAACAAATTGATTTATTAATGTTAAATTTTTAATTTTTTTCTTGATTATTCTAACTCTTATAGTCTTTGCATAAAATTAACTATTTTATTTTCAAAATATCAACCTAAATTCTTTAGAGATAAGGGATATTCGCTATTTTTTATTGGATAGTATATTAAAAATGATGTAAGGCTTCTATTGATGAAAATATACATCTTGAATATATTAAGGCTCTTGTAGAATTGCATTATAAAAACAGTACATTTTTTCATCAAATTAATATATAGTTAGAGAATATCTAAACAAAAAATTAAAAAACTTGGCTCAATTTTTTGTGGTAAAAATTCATTTTCAACTTAAATAGCTTATTAAAATATTTATAGCATTGTTATTGTAAAAATTTTTCACAAATACGATTATTAATGCAAATTAACAATTAAATAATTTTTACTTTCTCCTTCAAATAATTTACAGTCTGCAATCCCCCATTAAGCCTTTAGATCTGATAAATTCTTGCTCAAAGTTAAGAAGGCATAATATAAATGATTATCAAATATAATATATTAGAGGACATATTTATTCTCATTTTTATTCTATTATAAATAAAGCTTAGATAATAATGCATCTAAAATCATTTTTAAGATTTTTAACTTTAACTATATCACTCTTAACAACAAAAATATCCTAATTTGTATCGCTTACCATTAACACTGATTGTGAATAAATAAATAAAAAAATAAATTCTTAATTAGATATAAATAACTAATTATTAGATAAATCTTCTGATTTATAAATAATATTGAAATACATTCTGGCTTTATTTTACCTAATAATGTAACAGAGCTATCACAAAAATGATTTAAGGGAATTAAAGAATTAATTTTTCAATAACTGATTCCTTTCATTTAAAGCAAAATTATGGTTATTAGATTTATCATTATATAAATCTTTAATTCATTTTTTATTTTATGTTTGAAATTGTAGATTCCAAAAACACCTAAATTTAATGAAATTATTACCCTTTCCTGTTAATTAGGTTTAAATGATTGAAAATTTTCTTAGTATAAAATATTTGACCATCTTTGTCATTATCACCAAAATAACTATATTGATTATCAATAATTGACAATTTTATTTCATCAATAAGTACTTTATCTTAATAGATATGAAATTTTTCTTATATGTATATATCTATTTTTTGTATGATAAATGAAGTTTCAATATCTGTATGAGGATCATTTACAAAATTTATAAATGTATGAATTAATAAGTTTAGCTGAATCTAAACCAAAATAAGTTCTATTATTTTAGTATAATTTCTAAAAGAATTATAATTAAACTGAAATATTAATGCTTAAGAAAAATGACATAAATAAGACTAAATTATTTCTTGGTTATCATAAGATGAGGGAATAGATTAAGGTTATAATAAAGATAATGGCTACCTTAATAATGATTAAATCTTCATGAAATATCAAGAAGACAATCATTAATCCTTTTCAAGAATCTTGACTAATATGCCTTCTTAAATAATCATTACGATAGTAACTCAATATTTATCTGGTGTCACTATCTTTCAATTTATTCTTCTTTTTAATACAAACTCAAAAACATGTAAATTGAAACTAAGCCATACTAAGAGTCTTATAAAAACAAATATTTCCTTGTAAACAATAGATATATATCTGAGATCTTCCTAAACGGCAATGACTAAACTGACATTTTCAATAGAGTAGGCTATGGGCTATTGAATATATATTTGTCACTTGTAGTTAATAATCAGAATTTATATTGAGTATTAAGATAAAAAGTTGATTATAAATAAAATGGCCATAATGAGAATACAGATCATTCTAAAGCAAATGATATCGATATTTGATATGGC